ATCAATGAACCTTGGGTTAATTTACATTTCTATAAACTGCATAAGAGGGAAGCTACTTCAACTCTTTCTAGTATATGTGGGCTTTGATGGCTTTTATTATTTGTTTTTCAATAGTTATTAAAAGGTGAGACTTTTTATTTATTTATTGGTTTGTTTATGTATTTATTTATTTGTTTGTTTATGTATTTATTTATTTATTTATTTAAAAACTTGGAATGCTTCACAAATTGGCATGTCAACCTTGCACACGGACCATTCTCATCTTTTCTGTATCGTTCCTATTTTAGAATATGTGCTGCCAAAGCTAGCACAAAGTGAGTTTTATTAAGATTTTTAATTTTCATGTTCCTTTTTAGAGTGAGAATGTGTAAGCCCTTTGATCCTCAATCTGAGCAGGAGTATGTGGCCCTTAGGGAGGTGATGATCAAAGCTGAATATCAGAAGTTGCATCTGTTTCTCTGTGAGGAGGAGCGCCTCTATGTGGATACAATGGAGAGAGAAGGAGAGGAGATCTTCCAACAACTGCAGGAAAGCAAAGTCAGAATGACCCAACAGACAGAAAGCCTCAAAGAGATGTTTAGAGAACAGATGGACATGTGCCACAAGCCAGATGTGGAGATGCTCCAGGTGAGAGGGCAGGGTCCATCAAGAGACAGGAATCCTTTTCCAGACAATATGGCTATGATGCCTGCATACACCATTACCCTCAGCTATGTGATTCTGCTCCTGGACTCCCATCATGGTGTCCATCCAGTCAGGCACTTATTTTGTTGTATCCTGGTAATCTTTGGGAGCTCTTTGCCTAAGTAGCTGACATAGAATAAGGTGATTTCAGTGTAATCCGAAGCCCCACCTCCACAGACAGATTCTCCAAACTCAGTCAATCTCTCAGCATGGCAACATTAACTTTGCTGTTACAATTTTCTGTTTACATTCACCTAATCTGCTGTCACTCTCTGTTACTGCCATAAAAGCAAGTGACTAAAGACATTGAGGTTTTGACCCTTGCCTAGGCATGATTTCTAGAATTTGGCAATCAATTTTAAAGCTCTCTCTGTTTTTTATTTGATGCCCAGTTTTACTTTCATTGTTATTAATGGTCAGATCTCTCCTTGGGAATAACACTTGGAAATTAGTTACATTGGAAACCTAGATCTCATTGCATCATTCCCTTCTCTGCCTGACCTTCTGCCATGCTCAGAACACCGTGAGGAAGCTCTGTGTGTTTTAGTTTAACTGCTGTTATTAAGATGGCCTCTGGTTGTTCCTTAAAGGGGAATAGGAAAAGGCACATTATTAAAACAAACTCGAGAAAAGATATAAAAGGACACACTTTGCATGTTTACTTTCTTTTTCTGTTTGTTTTGCAGGATTTGGGAACTGTGTTGGAAAGGTGACCTTAGACTAATTCTTTCTGAGAAAGTCATTCTCTTCTGGATGAGGGAGCTGTACATGTTTTGAGCTAGAAACCTTGTCCTCTGTAGGTATTTCCTGTTTTCTTTCCAAAGTGGCCCTGAGGCCTTCTGGTCTCAGAAGTTTCCTTTCCATGTGCCTGAATTCATATGTACCTGAAAACATCTGATCCCTGAGGTTTCTTCCAGCTCATCACCCTTATCCTCTCCCTATTTAGCACAATAAACATCACAGGAGTGATTCTTAAGGAATCACAGAAAAGTACCTCCACTGCACAGGTGGAAGGTGAAAAGAGCAGGAACAGGAGCTTTGCTATGAATGTATGGCGGTTGATTTTGTTCCCAGGACTAGCAATGCCTCATCCTGTTCCATCACTGCAGGTCAGACCTCAGGGAATAACCTCTTGGTGCCCCCTAAAAAGTTAGACCTTTAGAAGCAGGCTGCCATGCAGGAGTTACATTTCCTTGCTTGAGTAAAAAAAAAGGGGAGAGCTGTCTGTGTTTGTGGACTCTCCCCTTTCAGACACTGAATGTCTCATTGGTGACGACTCTGAGACTCAAGTCCCAAAGGCTCTGCCTGGATGTTCTGCTCCCTGTCAGATACCCAAGGGTTTGCATCCCCTGAGATGTAGCAGATGGAGGAACTGATTGTCCATCATTTTAGAAATGCAATAATATCTGAGGAGAATGGGGAAGTTGATATGTGATAAAATTTATAAATTTAGAAAAAAAGTAAGCTCAGAGTGGGAGGATCCTGATGAAATATCCTGGATTTAAAGCTATAATATTTAGATTGGTTGTGTGACTAACCTTTGCCACAAAATGCCACTGTGGTCATTGTTTATAGGACTGAATTGGTGCTGAATCAAAAGCCTCAGCCAGAGAAACCTGAGCTCACCTCCTGGTGCTGCACTAACCTCCTAGACATGCTGTACAGTTTCAAAGGACAGAGCTTGTCCTGTGGCATTAGGCCTCAATTTCTTTGTGATTTTTAGGTTTATAGGTTCTTTTTCTATTTTAATTTTATCTTTTCTGTCATGAAGGCAGTCCATCACTTTCCAAACTCAGTATCTTCTTCCCTTGTGAAGTCACATCACAATGAACTTTGCATCTTATTGAAAATACAAAGCAAGAAAGCGATTTTTATTGATGTTTGGTATACATAGAGGAAGAGAAGAGCAATGAGGTTGACCATGTGGGCACGAGGAGATAGAATATTTAGTACTCACAGTAGCCATCAATATTATATATTTTATCAGGTACTCCACTTTTGAATGTTTAAATACAACATGGATAGATTTAAATCTGTTGTATAATGTAAGTGCATAGATCATGCATTTCACTAAGAATATTTATTATTTATGAAATCAGAAAGTCCAAAAAGGGACTGAAAATGTTATAAGCAGAATAATCCCTCACTATTGTGGCCTCATGAGCTCCTCCCACAACTGCCCCCTCACCACTTGCCTAACGTTCTCAGCCTTCCCTCTTAGGTTTGATGGTCTGTTCCATGCTTCTGTGTCTCTAGACCTATCTTTGTTAATCTGTTTATGTTGTTCATTATATTCCACAAATGTGTGAGATCATGTGATACTGGTCTTTCTCTGACTGGCTTATTTCGTTTAGCATAATGCTCTCCAGGTTCATCCATGCTGTTGTAGATGGTAAGAGTTCTTTCTATTGTGAGCAGCATAGTATTCCATTATGTAGATGTACCATGGTTTTCTCATCCACTCATCTGCTGCTGGGAACTTAGGCTGTTCCCAAATCTTAGCTATTGTAAATTGTGCTGCTATGAACATAGTGGTGCTTATATTCTTTTTGATTGGTGTTTCATATTTCTTGGGATATATTCCTAAGAGTGGAATTACTGCAGTTTCTTCAAACAAATTAAAAATTGAACTCCCATTTGACCCAGGAAAACCTCTGAAATATTGTAAATGGAATCCCAAGTGTGCTGATGAGCAGTACGTGCATCGCAGCCCTATTGGGAAATATGCTAGGGGTTACTGTCCTCTGAAGAGATAAAGCATCTGAAGAGGCGGTAACATATTTCCCTGAAAAATGTTCACCTGAAACCAAGTTCTGTTAGAGCTTGAAGGTGCTGCCTTCAGGGGGTTTCTACCAGCATAATGAGAAAGCCAAGTTGATAAGTAGCTTAAGGCTGGGTCTGTTCTGGATCTTCCAGTCAGCATGGCTCCTATCAGCTGAACATCAGATGACCAGGTGAGCCTGATGGGGGCTGCTTTTCATAACTGGCTGTTTACAACTTTCTCTAATGCCCCAAGAGTCCTGAAAGCAATTTGGTAACTTGTTCACCTTCTGCTAGAAACACTCGCCAACTCTTCCCTCTAATCATACTGATGTCAACTAGAATTCATCAGTGGTTGCTAATAGCAAAGTCAGGCAGCTCTGCTCAGGATGTGGAGGTGCCAAACTGTGAAAGGAGCCTTGCACTGGTCATGTTAAAATCCTTGTTGTAGTTCAAATGGCTGTGTTGCTGCTTCTGCCCTGGGTTCTCACAGCATCCCCACTCTGTCCCCACCCTGCCATGGAAGTCAACTGAAGGTCCCTTTTTAGTGAACTCAAATCTAAGAGAAACTCTAAGCATTACATTACAGAGCATTAGTGTTCTTTGGAAATAGCTTTTGGTCCTTCTGTTTTTTATTTCTAAAGTGTCTGATTTTTGAAATGTTAGTATTTTTTTTTAGCCTAACAAATAATACCTTTTTTTAAACAGCCTATTAGATTTTCACTTTTTACATTTTTATCTTTACATGTTGTTGTAGTTACTCTGCTACCTAGAAAAACTTAGTTAGGATGGCTTACTGTCTGTATTTATTATTTGAAGAAGGAATAAGATTGCAGGGCCCAGGTTTTAGAATTTTAAAATGCTATGTGACGCAATCACACATCCAGGAATTAATATTGCAAGGGAAGGTTGGACAAGTCCCTGTAAGGGACAGCACCATGTAATAGACTGCCCACATAATACTTGATATGAACTAAAAAATGAGAACAGTAGACATTTTGTTCTCTATACCTTATGTAAATGACATGCAACCTATTGAGAAATGTTTGAGGCATTTCCCAAAATTAACTTATTAAATGTCCTCATATACATGTGTACATGTATCTTTTTAAAAATATATATTTTATTGATTTTTCACACAGAGGAAGGGAGAGGGATAGAGTTGGAAACATTGATCAGCTGCCTCCTGCACACCAACTACTGGGAATGTACCTGCAACTAAGGTACATGCCCTTGACCTGAATCAAACCTGGGATCCTTTAGTCCCCAGGCCAACAGTCTGTCCATTGAGCCAAACTGATTAGGGCCATGTATCTTAATAGGATATGCACTATTCGCTTTCTTTTCCTTGGTCTGCTCAGGAAACAGTGCCTGAAGTGCCATTGCTGATCAATGAACCTTGGGTTAATTTACATTTCTATAAACTGCTTAAGAGGGAAGCTACTTCAACTCTTTATAGTATATGTGGGCTTTGATGGCTTTTATTATTTGTTTTTCAATAGTTATTAAAAGGTGAGACTATTTATTTATTTATTTATTTATTTATTTATTTATTTAAAAACATGGAATGCTTCACAAATTGGCATGTCATCCTTGGGCAGGGGCCATTCTCATCTTTTCTGTATCATTCCTATTTTAGAATATGTGCTGCCAAAGCTAGCACAAAGTGAGTTTTATTAAGATTTTTAATTTTCATGTTCCTTTTTAGAGTGAGAATGTGTAAGCCCTTTGATCCTCAATCTGAGCAGGAGTATGTGGCCCTTAGGGAGGTGATGATCAAAGCTGAATATCAGAAGTTGCATCTAATTCTCTTTGAGAAGGAGGGCCTCCATGTGGATACAATGGAGAGAGAAGGAGAGGAGATCTTCCAAGAACTGCAGGAAAGCAAAGTCAGAATGACCCAACAGACAGAAACCCTCAAAGAGATGTTTAGAGAACAGATGGACATGTGCCACAAGCCAGATGTGGAGATGCTCCAGGTGAGAGGGCAGGGTCCATCAAGAGACAGGAATCCTTTTCCAGACAATATGGCTATGATGCCTGCATACACCATTACCCTCAGCTAAGTGATTCTGCTCCTGGACTCCCATCATGGTGTCCATCCAGTCAGGCACTTATTTTGTTGTATCCTGGTAATCTTTGGGAGCTCTTTGCCTAAGTAGCTGACATAGAATAAGGTGATTTCAGTGTAATCCGAAGCCCCACCTCCACAGACAGATTCTCCAAATTCAGTCAATCTCTCAGCATGGCAACATTAACTTTGCTGTTACAATTTTCTGTTTACATTCACCTAATCTACTGTCACTCTCTGTTACTGCCATAAAAGCAAGTGGCTAAAGACATTGAGGTTTTGACCCTTGCCTAGGCATGATTTCTAGAATTTGGCAATCAATTTTAAAGCGTTCTCTGTTTTTCATTGGATGCCCTGTTTTACTTTCATTGTTATGAATGGTCATATCTCTCCTTGGGAATAACACTTGGAAATAAGTGACATTGGAAACCTAGATGTGGTTGCACTAGGTCTCTGCCTGACCTTAATCCATACTCAGAACACCTTGAGGAAGCTCTGTGTGTTTTAGTTTAAGTGCTGTTATTAATTAAGATGGCCTCTGGTTGTTCCTTAAAGGCGAATAGGAAAAGGCACATTATTAAAACAAACTCGAGAAAAATATAAAAGGACACACTTTGCATGTTTACTTTCTTTTTCTGTTTGTTTTGCAGGATTTGGGAACTGTGTTGGAAAGGTGAGCTTACACTAATTCTTTCTGAGAAAGTCATTCTCTTCTGGATGAGGGAGCTGTACATGTTTTGAGCTAGAAACCTTGTCCTCTGTAGGTATTTCCTGTTTTCTTTCCAAAGTGGCCCTGAGGCCTTCTGGTCTCAGAAGTTTCCTTTCCATGTGCCTGAATTCATATGTACCTGAAAACATCTGATCCCTGAGGTTTCTTCCAGCTCATCACCCTTATCCTCTCCCTATTTAGCACAATAAACATCACAGGAGTGATTCTTAAGGAATCACAGAAAAGTACCTCCACTGCACAGGTGGAAGGTGAAAAGAGCAGGAACAGGAGATTTGCTATGAATGTATGGGGGTTGATTTGTTCCCAGCACTAGCAATGACTCAGCCTGTTCCATCACTGCAGGTCAGACCTCTGGGGAATGACCTCTTGGGGCTCCCTAAGAAGTTAGACCTTCAGGAGCAGGCTGCCAGGCAGGAGTTAGGTTTCCTTGCTTGAGAGGAAAAAAACGGGAGAGCTGTCTGGCTCTGTGGACTCTCCCCTTTCAGACACTGAATGTCTCATTGGTGACGACTCTGAGACTCAAGTCCCAAAGGCTCTGCCTATATGTTCTGCTCCCTGTCAGAGACCCAGCGGTTTGCATTCTCTGGGGTGGAGTAGATGGAGGAACTGATTGGCAATCATTTTAGAAATACAATAATATCTGAGGAGAATGGGGAATTTGACATGTGATATAATTGATACATTTAGAAAAAAATTAGGTAACATTTCTTATATCCCCAAGAGGGTAGACTATCATGTATACCCCATTAGCTCAGAGTGGGAGGATCCTGATCAAATATCCTGGTTGAAAAGCTATTATATTTAGATTGGTTGTGTGACTAACCTTTGCCTCAAAATGCCACTGATGTCTTTGTTTATAGGACTGAATTGGTGCAGAATCAAAAGCCTCATCCAGAGAATCCTGAGCTCACCTCCTGGTGCTGCACTGGACTCCCAGACATGCTGAACAGGTTCAGAGGTAAGAGCTTGCCCTGTGGCATTAGGCCTCAATTTATTTGTGGTTCTTAGGTTTATAGGTTCTTTTTCTATTTTAATTTTATCTTTTCTGTCATGAAGGCAGTCCATCACTTTCCAAAATTAGTATCTTCCTCCCTTGTGGATTAACATCACAATGAACTTTGCAACTTATTGAAAATACAAAGCAAGATACATATTGTTATAGATGTTTGGTATACACTGTGTTTCTAAACACTATTTCAGTTATGGTTTCCTACATTATGGATTCCAGGGAGGTCTCAGAGCATCATCTCCCCCATGTCATCTATAAAAGGGACATAAAACTGCTTTAACTGATGTGAGAAGTCAGCTCCAATAACCGCTTAATTTTATCTTCCTTTGTGAAACATATTTATTTCTCTGAACATGAAACTTTCAGTATAATTTCATAAAAATGCTCATTTTCAAGGAATACTCATCTCTTTTGTTCTGTCCCCTAGCATTAGCTACAGCTTGTAGCTTGCTTTTCTACACAACTCTTCACATTATTCAAAACTTATCACATAATACAATTAAAGTTGGTAAGTGATAATTCATCAAAAAAAGCTAAACAGAAAATGTTACCAGTGTAAAAAATGCAGAGGAAGGTGAAGATAAAGAGAGAGGGGAATAAAAGAATGAAGACAGATAGAGAAAATGGAAAGAACAGATCACAGGTATCATAGAGTTTTGGGGGTTTGTACCTGATTCTGGGCTTTCTGTCTTTTTCAAATTGATACAATTAAACACACACACACACACACACACACACACACACACACACACACACACAAACACACACACATGAATACAGAATGAAAACCAGGCTGCAGCCCGGCCCAGCTGTGACCTGCTGGCTGACATGTGTGCTTCCACTCTCTGCTGGGGCCTCCGCACCATGGCCACCACCAAGCAGTTCAGATGCTCCTGCAAGTGGAGCAGGGGGAAGGGACACCCTTCCAGGTGCTCAGACACATCACCCAGTGCTCCTCCTGGGTCCACTCTGAGTCCCTGAAGAGCCTGAAGGCACTTCACCAGGAACGGGCGCCAGTGGAAGTGAGGTTTGGTCACAGATGCAGAGAGCATATTCCTCACGTTCAGTGTGTGTTGCAGAACCTGCTTTGTGTCAGTCAGGGGGGCCTTGGAGGCCAGGCTGAGATCTTGATACTGGGTGGCCTTCTTACCAAAAGGATGTGTTTGAGATGACCCTGAACTTGGCTTACTAACACAGCCAACTCAGTGTGCAAAGCTGAGAGAACAATGCTGTCCAGGAGACAGAGGCCCAGAGCTCCCCTGCCTGCTGTCTGGGAGACAGCAACCCAGAGAGTTCCCAAGCACTACCCAGGCCAGGTTCCCTGGTTATGAGGGCATTTATGGGGCCTGGAGTGAGAACCAGGCAAGGTTCAAGTGGAAACCCCTATCTAGAGCCCTATTGTTCTCAGTCCTGCCTCTGCAGCACAAACTGGGAAAGGATGCTGTGGGTTGTTCTGGTTCTGGTCCTGAATTCTATCCCTACCAGGATCAGCAAGTTGGGATCTGGTAGTGATTTTGGGGTGTTCTTCCAAAGACTCGGAGTTGCTTTAGGCAAAGCGCAGTGTACTAAAAAGTGGGTAAGTCTGTCCATAAGCACTTCAGCATCATTTAGAATATAATTTAGTTAAACAAATCATTCTGAATCAAGAAAAGTGACTAGACCCTAACCTTTAGTCACTAGTGGAATAGAGGAATTTGAATCAGATGGATGATGTCTCAATAGTTAAGATGGTGCTCCTACTGGGGAACAGTTCCTGAATCTGGTTCCCTGAGCCTTGTAACCTGAACTTCCATGTACTCCCTTATATACATCTTCCCTTTCATTTAATAGTATTTCATTCACTGAGCTATTCAAACTAGAATTGTATGAATTGTCTTTGGTTCCTCTCAACCCTTTGTCATTCAAAACCAATCTCATATCAAAATCTGCAAACATTTGACTTTGTATTTGGCGACATCTCCAATCAGTGGACATGAAAGTTATCATAACCAATGGCATAATACAAGTCTTACTTTTTTATTGTTGATGCTGATAATCATAATGATAATTTTATAGCTTTTACTTTTGAGAAAGTAACATAGGCATAAACTTCATAAAATGTCACACAGAACTAGAAGAATTGATAGTGAAAAACCATCGGTCCTCTATCCAACTTACCCACCTTTGATTCTGTTCAGCAGACTAAAGTGCTTTCAACTGATCAGTTCTATGTATCACCCGATTACCTCTGACTAGGGAAAATAGGCATTCAGTTTTCTCACATGGCTTCTTCTCTTAACCTCCAAATACTTAACCTGCATCCCATTTTCTCGGTTTATAGCTGCGCTACACTTGTGGATTACAACACTTATACTGTTTTCCTCCATGTACCCACAAGCCATTTACCACACACTCTTCATCTATTCAAACACATCAGGCGATGTGTCAGATTTCATTATCCCTCAGGGAGCTGTTCTCTGGCTCCCCTGGGTTCTCTGGTTCTGCTGCCCAGGGCACAGCTCCTGCCTGTGAAATTTCCCTTCACAGAGAAATCTGAGGGTACCTTCATTTATCTCCTCTATTTCATCTTCTGTTCTCCAGATTTTGTTTCCTCCTCTTTCTTGTATACGCTCTACTTGTTCCTTCGGGAACTTTTTGAAAAAGGTGTATGAAAGCTAAAGACCATGCATTTCTGAAAACGTTATCTATGCCACACACAATTCTTCCATAGTTTGGCTGGGCATCAACTTTTGGTTGAAGATTCTGTACCCTCAGAAATTTGAATTCATGGCTTCATTGTTTTCCAGCCTTCAGCATTGCTGTTGAGATTTTGGGCCATTTGATCCCAGTTCCTTTGTCTCTGATATTTTTTAA